TTGTTTTTATACTGTGAAATGAGCGCACCACTGAGTGCAAAGCAACTGCCAACAGGTGTTGAAATAACATACTAAAAAGTAGTAGTCACACATATTGGAAACCACTGTAGTTAGCCTAGCTAGCTTGCTGAACATCTTAATGATTCATAACCAATGCTATGTGGAAAAATGTCTACAGTATTAACAGCTTTGCAGCATGTTGCCCATTGCTGGCATTCAAGATGTCAGTTAGGCACTGCTGTGGGAAATATCCAGTTGGAGGGTTGATTCTTATGCTGTTTCAAAAAAATGTATATAGTTTGGAAAAGGTTATAAAGCCATTTCTAAAGCTTTGGGACTGCAGCGAACCACAGTGAGAGCCATTATCCACAAATGGCGAAAACATGGAACAGTGGAGAACCTTCCCAGGAGTGGCCGGCCGACCCAAATTACCCCAAGAGCGCAGCGACAACTCATCCAAGAGGTCACAAAAGACCCCACAACAACATCCAAAGAACTGCAGGCCTCACTTGCCTCAGTTAAGGTGAGTGTTCATGACTCCACCATAAGAAAGAGACTGGGCAAAAATGGTTTGCATGGCAGAGTTCCAAGACGAAAACCACTGCTGAGCCAAAAGAACATAAAGGGCCGTCTCAGTTTTGCCAGAAAACATCTTGATGATCCCCAAGACTTTTGGGATAATACTCTGTGGACAGACGAGACAAAAGTTGAACTTTTTGGAAGGTGTGTGTCCCATTATGTGTGGTGTAAAAGTAACACCGCATTTCAGAAAAAGAACATCATACCAACAGTAAAATATGGTGGTGGTTGTGTGATGGTCTGGGGCTGTTTTGCTGCTTCAGGCCCTGGAAGACATGCTGTGATAAGTGGAACCATGAATTCTGCTGTGTACCAAAATATCCTGAAGGAGAATGTCCGGCCATCCGTTTGTGACCTCAAGCTGAAGCGAACTTGGGTTCTGCAGCAGGACAATGATCCAAAGCACACCAGCAAGTCCACTTCTGAATGGCTGAAGAAAAACAAAATGAAGACTTTGGAGTGGCCTAGTCAAAGTCCTGACCTGAATCCAATTGAGATGCTGTGGCATGACCTTAAAAAGGCGGTTCATGCCCGAAAACCCTCCAATGTGGCTGACTTACAACCATTCTGCCAAGATGAGTGGGCCAAAATTCCTCCACAGCGCTGTGGCAGACTCATGGCAAGTTATCGAAAACGCTTGATTGCAGTTGTTGCTGCTAAGGGTGGCCCAACCAGTTATTAGGTTTAGGGGGCAAACACTTATTCACACAGGGTTTTGTAGTTTTGGATTTTGTTTTCCCTTAATAATAAAAACCTTCATTTAAAAACTGCATGATGTGTTTACTTGTGTTATCTTTGACTAATATTTAAATTTGTTTGATGATCTGAAACATTACAGTGTGACAAACATGCAAAAAGATAAGAAATCAGTAAGGGGTCAAACACTTTTTCACGCCACTGTATACAGTCTACAGCCTTTTCAGAAAAAATTACAAATATATAAAATACTGTGATAACACTATCATTTTGGGTTAGATTTCCTTACACAGAAAGTGAGAAGAATTCAACTCTCACTTCAACTTCAGCAGACATAAAATTGATTCTCATAAATGCCATGTGTCTCTGCTTTACTATCTGTGTTTTAAAGGGCCATTTGGACAAGACATGTATCTTGTGAAAAACCATATTGTTTTTACAAACTTTGACAAGAGCATCTGGAGAGAATATCTGCAATTTGTTCAGGTATCATTGTTTTCAGTTGCTTGTTTCATGTGTACAACCAGCTGTTGTTACTGTTTAAAATGCAGAGACAAGCTTTCACATGGTCTACCCCCACGCACACTCACTCACTGTACCTCTAGTCGTAGGTATTCACTCTGCTCCTTTGAGATGAGACTAAGGATGGTGCTGCTGTGTTTGCGGGTTCGCACCAGGACTTGAACCCATGTCCTCCGAGCTTGCAGTGGGGAAGCTAACTGGTAGTGCACGTGACTGTGCCCATCAAAGGAATACTCTGGAACCTCTAGTGTTGGTACACACAAAGACACACATCAGTCAGACAGTGCTGTGATTGAGAATTAAAGTTTAAATACAACACATCACATTTTATCCATTTAGAAGAGGCATTACTTCAGAGGGAAGTGACTTCAACTAAGTCAGTTTCACAGTCACAACATTCCTCCCATATGCTGGTGGATAGAATACAGTATGTGTGTGTGGTTTAGCTTGGGTTATGCATGATTCCTTTTAGACCCTGAAGTGAATTGTATGCATACCAGTGAGACTAAACCAAACACATCTAAATTGTTTCCCAACCATTCTTTCATCTCAACTTAATTTTTTCCATCTTTTGCTTCCATACTAAGTGGTTCATGGGATCCTGCTTGAAGCCAATGTCAAGTCACATTTTTAGTTTCTTCCAGGAATGTGCACATGAACAGCCATATCTTCTTCTCAACACTGAAACTTGTGTGTCATTGTTAACTGCATTTGTCAAGGTCACAGAGCTGTTTATCTGGGATTTGTAGATATACAGTGGGTACAGAAAGTATTCAGACCCCCTTAAATTTTTCACTCTTTGTTATATTGCAGCCATATGCTAAAATCATTTAAGTTCATTTTTTTTCCTCATTAATGTACACACAGCACCCCATATTGACAGAGAAACACAGAATGTTTGACATTTTTGCAGATTTATTAAAAAAGAAAAACTGAAATATCACATGGTCATAAGTATTCAGACCCTTTGCTGTGACACTCATATATTTAACTTAGGTGCTGTCCATTTCTTCTGATCATCCCTGAGATGGTTCAATGAAATCCCTCCCTGCTGAGCGGTGAGTCCCGGATATCGTTTAGATTAAGTCTGCAGTCCTCCATGTATTCTCACTTGTGTTTGTTTTATAATTGATTTATTCATCCACTTTTCTTTCAATAATAAACTATTTAATGTGCAATTCCTGTGAGTTCCTGTGATGAAAGATTCATACTGTCGATTTTTAGTTTTCACCTACACTTTAAAAGTCTTCATCTGAAAGCACTGGTTTGGTTGGCGCAGTAAAAACAACATTTTCCTGTCTGGTTTTCTAATATAAAATATGAAGAATATTTAATTTGACTGATGAGGGTCATTATTATAAAGATAGTGTTTTTGTTTGTTTGGTAAGTACATGTTAAGTACATCTTGTCAGTCAGAATGAAATATCCTGATGTAGAGTACTTTGAAAAGTGCACTCATATGTCATCATAAACCACATTATTATGATTTACCATTTAGATTCATTCTGAAGATGTTAGATATTACCAGGCATCTGAGGAAAAGTACAACCGGGTCATGTACAAACAAATGTTTTCTTTTTCACAGATTTGACACCACATAAAAAAGAAGACAGTTAAAAAAAGGGGAAGTGGCAAATTTACTGAATCTCAAAACTCAAAACTGCTTTGTGTGGTCACACAGCTTTCTCCTTCCCATTTTTATTCAACCACCAAACCTACAACTGCTTTTAAGAGAAGCACATTAAATCACATTTTTGACCATCTTTCCCACATTTTCACACCGACTCATCTATCTGGGTGAAACAGACCAAAATGCCACTGAAGCAAAATGACATGTTAAACATGACGACCAACGTTTACCATCCAACCTGACAGCACTGGAGAGGATCTGCAAGGAGGAATGGCAGAGGATCCCCAAATGCAGGTGTGAAAAACTTGTTGCATCATTCCCAAAAAGACTCATGGCTGTATTAGCTCAAAAGGGTGCTTCTACTAAATACTGAGCAAAGGGTCTGAATACTTATGACCATGTGATATTTCAGTTTTTCTTTTTTAATAAATCTGCAAAAATGTCAAACATTCTGTGTTTTTCTGTCAATATGGGGTGCTGTGTGTACATTAATGAGGAAAAAAATGAACTTAAATGATTTTAGCATATGGCTGCAATATAACAAAGAGTGAAAAGTTTAAGGGGGTCTGAATACTTTCCGTACCCACTGTAAAATCATATGATCAGCTTTGCACTAATAATCTAAGCTTGTTCTAGGTTGTTCAGTACAGAGGAGTTTGGTGAGGTAGGCATACTTCTTAAATCCCTAGTTTACTTTTTGAAGAAACTGCAACATAAGAAACTAGAATTACTGCTTCACAGTTGTATGCCTCCGCCAGCGAGTCAAATTCATGGGAACAGACAGATGTGAGGTCACTAAACTTTGACCTTTGACCATGAAAATCTCAGTTCATCCTTGAGTCCAAGTGTACACTTGGGCCAAAGTTGAAAAAAATTCCCTCAAGGTGTTTCTGTGATATCATAATCACAAGAATGAGATGAACGCCAGGTCACAGTGACCTTTGACCACCAAAGTCTAATCAGTTCATCCTTTAGTCCAAATGGACACTTGTGCCAAATTTAAAGCAGTTCCCTCCAGGTGTTCCTGTGAAATTGCCTTTACAAGAACGGGCTGTACGGACGAGCAGACAACCTGAAAACATAATGCCTCTGGCTGCAGTTATTGTCAAGGTGGAGGCATAAAAAATATAAGGATATTCTCTTTCTAAGCTGTTTTCTTACCGCCACTGAACAGAATATATTTCACTAAAGCAAAACTGCATACAGTACAGTATATGCAGATATAGAAACAGCACATTATTATAGCATATTCTGGCTGTTTACTTTGTGATTGTCACAGTGAAAGGAAAAAACAGTTACTACTGTGATAACTTTTCAGAGCAGTAAAATCCTTACTCATATGACTATAAACCACTGTGCAGTGTGTGGTATCTGATACGCTTCAAACTCATGGCTACATTATTCCAAACAGACTCCCTGGATCATATTTCATCATCTCTCCAGTACCCTATACAACACACCTCCACTAACACAGCCACTTGATTTTTTTTTTTTTTTTTTTTACTGTTGTTTATGGCCTGAATGACAACTATGTGCCATAGATCGGATATACTATACCATTGGGGATTGAAATATTACTACAGTACAGGCCTTTGGGGAATTTTTATGACTTTATAATAGAAAGTACAGAAATAAGAGGATGTGAGGGACAGGGAGTTGCAATGAGGCTACATTCACATTACATGTTGAAGTGGCCCAAATCCAACTGTTTTCGCTCCAAATGACTCAGATCTGACCTTTTCTCACAAGTGTGAGCAAACCAAATCAGCCTGTTTCTCCACTGACCACTGTCACTGTTGTTGCTCTCTGCGATGTTTATTTTACCAGCCTGTGAGGACTAACAATGAATGATGATGACAGGCAATACGCACAGAGGAGTGAGATGTTAAAAAAAATCCAACAAATTTTGATCTGACTGCTTTGAGAGCTGTCACACAGTCAGAGATCTGAATCATTTGGCCATACAGTGAGGAACAGAAGTATTTGAACACCCTGCGATTTTGCAAGTTCTCCCACTTAGAAATCATGGAGGGGTCTGAAATTCACATTGTAGGTGCATTCCCACTCTGAGAGACAGAATTAAAAAAAAAAATTCAGGAAATCACATTGTATGATTTTTAAAGAATTTATTTGTCTTGCACTGCTGAACATAAGTATTTGAACACCTGAGAAATAGCAAGAATTCTGGCTCTCAAAGACCTGTTACTGTGCCTTGAAAAAGTCCACCTCTACTCCACTCATTAATCTAAATTAGTAGCACCTGTCTGAGCTCTTTAAAGACACATGTCCACCCCACAGTCAGTCAGACGCCAACTACTACCATGGGCAAGACCAAAGAGCTGTCAAAAGACACCAGAGACAAAAGTGTGGACCTCCACAAGGCTGGAAAGGGCTACGGGGCAATTGCCAAGCAGCTTGGTGAAAACAGATCAACTGTTGGAGCAATTGTTAGAAAATGGAAGAGGCTAAAGACGACTGTCAATCTCCCTCGGACTGGGGCGCCATGCAAGATCTCACCTCGTGGGGTATCACTGATGATAAGAAAGGTGAGGAATCAGCCCAGAACTACAAGGGAGGAGCTGGTCAATGACATGAAGAGAGCTGGGACCACAGTTTCAAAGGTCACTGTCGGTAGAACACTACGCCGTCATGGTTTCAAATCATGCATTGCACAGAAGGTTCCCCTGCTCAAGTCATCACATGTCCAGGCCCGTCTGAAGTTTGCCAAAGACCATCTAGATGATCCAGAGGAGGCATGGGAGAAAGTCATGTGGTCAGATGAGACCAAAGTAGAACTTTTTGGTCTAAACTTCACTCGTCGTGTTTGGAGGAAAAAGAAGGATGAGATGCATCCCAAGAACACCAACCCTACTGTGAAGCATGGGGGTGGAAACATCATGCTGTGGGGGTGCTTTTCTGCGAAGGAGTGGCCTAGCCAGTCTCCAGACCTCAATCCAATAGAACATCTTTGGAAGGAGCTTAAACTCCACATTGCTCAGCGACAGCCCCGAAACCTGACAGATCTAGAGGAGATCTGTGTGGAGGAGTGGGCCAAAATACCTGTTGCACAGTGTAGAAACCTGGTCAAGAACTACAGGAAACGTTTGACCTCTGTAATTGCAAATAAAGGTTTCTGTACCAAATATTAACACTGATTTTCTCAGGTGTTCAAATACTTATGTTCAGCAGTGCAAGACAAATAAATTCTTTAAAAATCATACAGTGTGATTTCCTGAATTTTTTTTTTAATTCTGTCTCTCAGAGTGGGAATGCACTTACAATGTGAATTTCAGACCCCTCCATGATTTCTAAGTGGGAGAACTTGCAAAATCGCAGGGTGTTCAAATACTTCTGTTCCTCACTGTATATGCAATTGGCCCAGATCTGATTTGGAAAAAAAAAAAAAATTCTGATTTGGTTTGTTCACACTTCTGTGAAAAAATCTGAACAGTCAGTTGGAGGCAAAAATTTGATTTGCATTGCTTCTTCATGCAATGTTACCATAACCTATGTGGCCACTCTAAAAATGGTCAGATCAGAATTTGATGGGGGTCATTGGAGAGACAGGGATGTTTCAGATTTGTTGGACCAGTTTCTGATCAAGCCAAACAGAAAGGAACATGGAACTGAGGAGTTTTTGAGAAAATTGTCCAATTTAATGCACAAATGGCATTGTTATTTTTGTACTACTGTGGCTCACATTATAGCTACTGTAAATCTGTGCCTTGTTGGCAGTTTTGTGTTCATAACAGAGCCAGATACATGTCACTTACAAAGATGAATCATCAACACAAACAGATCAGGGTTGAGCATTGAGACCTGTAATGTGAATGTAGCCATTGTGGTTCATGATCTGCATTTTAACCCCTAATGGGAACAGGCCATAAAGCAAGGCATTTCTTTTTACTTTACTTTTGCTCTGACTTGCCAGATTGCAGCCTGGCTCTGTTTTCAAGGGCTCACGAATGTAATCTGGTTAATTCATATAAACGCTGTCTGAAACTCACTTGAAAAAATACACACTACGTTTTCTTGGGTTGCCAAAATCATCCATGTGCCCATACTTGGTCACTGACTCCAGATTGTCTTGCTTCTTCAAAGATATGAATCATCTCCTGAATATGGACCATGTTTCATTCACATTCCTGAGTTTATTCATTAATTTGCTCATTTAATTATTCATTAAAAGTTTGCCTCCTGTTGGTTTTTGGAGGCTTGACAATGTCCACAGATGAAACTAAATAGTAATCATTGAACATAGCAATCATCAGTAAGAATGAAAAAACAGAAAACATGAAAGATGAATTTTGTTTGTTGCTGACTAAATACTGAACTGACACCATGCATATTCTACATTATATTTGAGAGAGCCCTATCAAGGAGCATTTACACAACTGTAAAGCCTGGCAGAAAGTGCTGCAGTCAACAGAAAGCATCACTAGAGATGTACTCCTGATTCTGGAGGATGTATACAACAGGCAGTGCAGTATCACCGTGATGGGGCTCATTAAATATCTCCAGCAACTGTCTCTTCCAACTGGTGCAGTCAGGCACACGCCTCCACAGCCATAAGGCCAACACACAGAAGCTCACAAGGAGCTGCTTTCTTCAGGCCATAAGAATCCTTACAATAGATGCTGCCAAGGGCCTGCATGCAACAATTACACAGCAGTAATGAAGGGTCTCCTAAGGGAAAGGCAAGTACTTCACCTGTGTATGCATGAATTTATAAATAGAGCATATCCCGCCTTCAAAAAAAGAATGTTATGATTGAATGAAAGGATGTTAGAAAAGCTCAGAAAAGCAGTGTGTGATAATATAAGTAACTGACCCTGGTGTCAGGCCCAACAAATCAAATAGTATAAAAACATTAGTTCAGGAAATTGTTTTGATTTCTCTATTGTTATGAATGTGTGCTAATAACAATTGTGCTTTCTTTTATTCAAAAGTTAACCTTCCTTTCTCGCCACAGAATATAAAATTCTCTTGTGCTTGTTTAATGTTGAAACTGTTGTCTTAGACTGTAGCTGAATTGTGATGTCCCCACATTGATCATATGAAATGTGTATTTCAAATCTGTGTGCCATTGTGGAAAGTATGAGTTATGAACCATATAAAATGATCTTAAGACCAAATAGTTAATTCATAAAACAAACTCCAACGATTCTCTCATGCACCCAGAGATGGGGGTGTGAAATATTCTACAGTGTGCTCCCAAAAGAGCCAATCAGGAACTCATTGTCATGACAGTTGAACCTCCCTCCAGTGTGTGTCTCATCTGTCTCTCTTATGCTTGTTTTTGTGTTTTGTCTATAATTCATTTTTCTAGATCTTATGCTCACATCGCCACAAGAAGTGTTTTTTAATTTTTATTTATTTATTTTTAATTATGAATCTTTCTTGTAACCTGGCAGGAATTTGACCTGAAGTAAAGTGCACCAATATTTGAGTAGTTTCAGCCAAAGTTTGTAGACAAAGAAAACTTTTGGTAGCAAAATTGAAAGCCAAGTTTACTTAAGCTAAATTGCTCGTTAAGCTCTGAAGACGCTATCAGAATGATCCTGTGAGGATCAGTTTAATTTAGACATGATTTTCCTCAAGACAGCATCAAATGCACAATGACAGAAGGACTCTGGTGAAGCCGTTGCCCTGGACACAGATCCCGCCGCAGATTGAAAGCCAACCACTCATAAAAGACAGGCAGATCATACTCCTAAGATAAGGAACCCCTTCTGAGTTTGCAGCCTTGAATGGCATTCTGGAACTTTGGACCTCCACAGAACTCTACTCTGGCCCAGAAAGGCTTCGAACCCAGCACTTCTCCTTCCCTGGTCACGTGAACCCTGCTAAAAGATACAATAAGTGCACCCAGGCAAACCGATGTCTCATGAAAACCACAGTCTCACTCAAAGTCTCAAATCTACTGTATAGACAAAGATAGTATTGTCCTGAGAACTCCAAAATTACCAGTGAGACGAATTATTCTGATTGACCAATACATCAACAGTGTGATAGCACTCTATCTGGTGCCTTACTCTAACAAGGTATTAGGATATTAGAAATAGTAAATATTAAATTCATATTCATAAATGTAGCCATTTTTAGTACAATGTTTAGAAGCTGTTTCAGGTGAAAACCCATCTATTTTATCTACTGCACAGTAATTTTATTAGTGGCTAATAGCTAAAAACAAATAGCTTTGCACATATTTTCTGACAAAAACCTAAATGCTACTTACAGTACATTTTGCTTTAGTGCTCCAAATTCATTCACCGGTTATGAAATATCTGAGCTCTGCTTCTACCAAATATACTCTAGTTTTACTTGTTGTAATTCCACATAGATTTTGTTGCAAGTGTTTAGACGTAGAGCATATAATCTTTCCAGGACACATGGATGCTTTTGTTGTTGATGGTAGAATCTACCACAGAGTTTACAGAATGTGCATTTGTTTAACACATAAGTCCATAAAAGCATGGCTTACCTTCTTCACACTGAGGTCCTGTGAATCCCGGCACACACTGGCACCTGAAGGAGCCCCACTCACCATGACAGTGGCCCCGGTGGCCACAGGACGGATAACCCATATTGACACAGCTGCTGTCTGTGGCCAGACAGCCCGGAGAGCTGGACTGCGAGTCGGCTGGGGAGCCCAAATCATACAGCTGAATGGGGGAGATAGAGGGGTAGTAAATATATAAAGGATGAGAGGAGAGGAATGACAAGACATGAAGGAAGAAGAGATGAGGAGGGGAGGGGAAATGAGAAGGGAACAGAGGAAACAAAAAAAAAGGAGAGGGGGATGAGAAAGAGGCAAGAATACAACTTTTAAAAATAATGCAAAAGTGGGAAAGAGGTGAGTACAATTAAGAGAAGAAGATGGAAGGAAGAGTAACCAGTAAGTAAGTAGCTTACAAACAGCAAACAAAAAGACAAGGCCGAGACAAAGCAGAGACAGGGGACTGAGGAAGACACAAGACAGACAGACATGTGGGTGGTAAGTAGCCTGAGGGGGGGGAGTCAGAATTGGAAAGGAATAACATAAAGCCAAATAAAGTGAAAACAAATGGAATAAAGAAAACTTTCAAAAGTATTGAGGGGTGTGCACTCCAGGTAGACTGTGGCCTTCTTTTCTGTTTCCCCTCTCATCTCTCTCGGTCTCTCCTCTCTCTGACTTTTTCCCTACCGTGATGAAACCAAGCACTGGACCAATCCTCTAACAGACAAACAGCATGCTGACACATGCACAGGAAGCTAAAAGGACAGGGGACCTTGAATGCCAAAATTTGTGTCCCTCACAAAAGGATGTGATAAAAGACATTAGTATGTGCAATCTCCATTCTGCCTAACCTGAACTTTATGAATTCTGTTGGAGCTGCAAAGGATTGTGAAAACTGACAATGGGTTATGCCGCCTGGGAGCTGGTGATTGGCTCTGACCTCCAGCAAAGAGGCATCTAATTGGTTGCTGACCTTTAAAAACTAGGGCTCCTCTGCTTATTGGGTTTGGGCCGATCATGTTGAGGACTGAAAAACAGGCATTAGCAACCAATGACTAAAAGACACATTTGGGTGTCTGCAATTGATTTACCTGTGCATGTGTCATTTTGATGTTAGTGTGGCCTGATATTACTCATGTTGTGGAGACATAAATCTGTTTATACAGTTACTTTGTGAGGACTCAATGTCCTTATGGGAAAAAAAGGTAAGTCCCCAAAACATAAATTGCATTTCAGAGTGTTGACTTGGTTTAAGGTTAGGGTTAGGACTAGACAGGTAGTGGTTATGGTTAAGGATAGGGTAAGCCTCTTGGAAATGAATGTAAGTTTATGGAATGCCCCCTGAAATAATGGAAGCACAACGTTTGTGTTTGTGTGTGTGTGTATCCGAGCAAAACACTTAGATTGATATGTTCAATGCAAAAATACACCTGCTGCTGCTGCTGCTTAAATTACAAATTGTGGCTTCTGCTGTCACACCCCCACTCAGAGACACTCCAGGCCGCCCTATTTGCAAAGATTAATTTCAGGTGTTGGGTATAAAGTGACTCAGCCTACAGGAAATGAAAAAAGTAATTCCAGACCAAAATACAAAGTATACAACTGTAGGTGTGCTGTGCAGCAAACAAAGTTTCACCAAAAAGTGCTGAACCTCATAGTGTCTAGGTGGTATGACAAAGTAACATCCAGAAATAAAGTTCAGTGTCAGACTCAGAGAGCATATTTGAATATCAGGTTAAGAAAGCATTTGAAATTCAGGTGAAAAAAAATTATATGAAAATCCATCATACTATTACATCAAAGTGTACAGTAAGGTGCTGGCCACCATGAGCTCTTATATGACAACAAGGGGAAAAAACAACACGATCGAGACTGGACTGTCATGTTGAGACAAAGAAAGAACCTTTAATAACCTACTGTAACAAAATCTGAACACTATTGTCTAAAATTTCATCAATGTACATTATGTTTTACATTGTATCATTATGTTATAGCATTAAGGTTTTCCTTACGATAAGAAAAAATCAGCTCTTGTTGTTGTTTACGTGACGTAAGAGTATAAAAAATCCAATTTAGTTTTGATGAGATGAGAAAACCTTAAAGATTCTAAAGTTAACATGATCAAACTAGACCCATCATTAACATATAGCAGAGACTGATGGAAAGGTGTCTGGTATTGGCAATTCGCCCCTAAATGTACTTTCTCAAGAGTTAAAAGAGCTGTCTACCACACTGATCTAAAAATGTCCATGGCTTGGGAACATGCATTACAGTATGTGGCTTCACTCATTTATTCAGTTTTTTTCATTTAAACTGTCACCCATTTGTAGTTTTGGCCTGAGATCAGAAAGGCACTTTTCTGAAATTGCTCCTACCGTGTTTGTCTGCCAAATGAATGCAATGTAACATCTGGACCATAGTTTCCTGAAAAATATAGTAAAAGCAGCAGATGCTGTCTCAACATTTAACTTTAGCATAGTGTCTACAGATGTTTTCAACTTTGGTCCAGAATCAAGTCGCAAGTCTTTGCTGCAACATTTTGCTGAGAAACTTCATCTGAAAGTCACTAGCATTCAAAAAGCCATTAGTCCAGCTCCTGTAACTGCAAACCTCCACACTTATGTGAAAAATAGGGAGACAGTTATGTCAGAACCACAGAAAAATGTGAAGCAGAAATGTTAGACAGTGAGTTGAAGGGTTGAAAGACAAGCAGAAAAATAACTTGACAAGGATGGAGAGTTAAAAACAGACAATGGCGTATGACAGCCAAAGGGGAGAGACCCAACTCCAGAATAGAAACGCATTTATAAAATTGAAAAATCTTTTCCTCTCTCATTTCATGTACATCTGCAATTTGGCCTGGTCTAGTTTAATCTTTTCTTCTTCTATACACATCACATAATGATTACCTAAAACCACAAGGCACAATAAAGGTTCAATGAAGCTGACATGTTCCTGCCATGTTGTATCTCTGCCTGGCTCCAAAACATAAAATGCAAAAATAAGTAAGTAGGTAAATAAATAAATAGATTTAAAAAAAGCTAATGCAGAAAAATACATAAATACAGGATTAAGTGATCAAATACATATGCAGACACAGAAGTACTGTAAAGTCACAGACAAATATAGAGACATCCTGTGTACACAGTGCTCAGCTACAGCAAGTGTGTCTATCAATGTCAACTACCTTTATCACATTACCGGTGCTCAAACCTTAAGAAAAACAGATGCTGTTGCTATAGCAACGCATGTGACATATTAGTACATTCTGTGATAATAAAAACACAACCAAGGGGGGGACAGGAAAATCTTACATTGTCCATCAACATTATTAATCATCAGTACGCCTACTGTTGTTTGCTCTTTGGAGATTTATTATTCTCCTGTCTGCCCACACACATCATGCAGATTTTTTCATTAGCATATAACGTTAGTGCAGCCTCCTGCTACTGTACGTCCCCAGCTAAGGTACACAGCTACAAGCCTTCTGCAACCACCAGTGTCTCAGCAGCAGGTGAAATGTACATCCTTTCATAGCCCCAGCCTTGAAATTCTACATCTTAATAATAGAGCTTTAAAAAGGTTCATAGAATGGATACAGATAAATTTTGCTAGTGAAGGTAACAAGATTACAGTTCCACAAGCTACACTTACTGCCCTAAGAGGCCCCATGGCTGCCTCCACCAAACCAGGCTGGCAGACAAAAATGTCTTGAACAAGTCTTCTCATGTGACCAACTAACTGGGGTTGTTTTTCAATTGAAGACAAGATTCACAACAGTATGTCTCCCTTTCGCACAGACCTATTGGGTTGTTGCATCCCTTCAGTAACCCCCCCCCCCATGGAGATTTGTTATTATATAATTTGTATGACACATTTACATGGTGTTATGAATATACAGTAATTAAATACATGTTGCTGTTTTAGCAAACAACAGAAAAGAAATCCTTGACCAAACTTAAAAAGTCAGTTTACTGCTCTCATTGGTCACATTCTAACAGTTGTGTTGATACTGCAAACAGATCAGTGTGTGTATTGCAGCCAGTTCCAATGATGCAACGTGTGACAGATAAATAATAATGCACCACAGTGGCACCTGCAGCCGTAACCCTGTACGCACTGTGCGTACATTTTTAAAAATAGTTTTGCAAGTTTTACAACTGCGTGTGGCGGTCACTATACAATCAACATACAGAAATATAGTTTCACATTTATGGCCTGAAGAGGTATGATATTACACACCTCTAAAGAGGATCACATCATTTCTACTCCCTAATGTAAGCTATGCACAGTTTGGAGTGAGTGACAGCAGCGCACACATTGACTTTACCCACTGTCAATAATGCCTATACTGGGACCTGCAGAGTATTTTTGATTTATCACATCTCATGAGCTGCATTCATTTGTTATTTTGCGGACAGATTTAAGTATCAGATCAGTGAAAGAGCAGCTGGTGCACAACGTTGGTCCCTGTGTGGAAAGTTGGTATGACAGGTGCTGATGAGAGAGAGGCTGCTGAACTGAATCAGCTACGGAGGCGCTTCTCAAAGCCAGTGTGTGTGCTGCACTCACTCCAAGCTGTGTAGGGGTCACGTTATTACAAGAAAATACAGTAGGCTATGTTGTTATAACGATAAAATAGCCTATGCAGTTATAACAAGAAAATGCAGTATGTCATAATAATATGAAAAATATGTTTTAATGTGAAAGTATCTCATAAAATTAGCAAAATATAACCAGAAAGGTTTCTCTTTAAAACAAGAATTACGCTAATGTTGACAGTTCTTGTGCGTACTATGAAATATAATCCTGCAGGGGCCAATGATGCACCAGTCCTACACACTGAATCCTGCTCTTGCAGATACTGACCTCATTAAATTGAACTGGCCAGAAGAGGCCAATAGCTTGACTTTTTTCCTGGTAGGATTTATCAAATAACTCACGGGCCCAGGTGTGTTAAATGCTCATGTGTAGCAGAGTTATATGGCTGGCTTTAATAAGCTGCTATAGAACTGAGAGAAGTTTCACATTTTTGCCTACTTATCATTATTTGAGAGCTGTTAGGCTGATTATTTCCAGATTTGTTTCCTGAACATCAACAAGAATATCTTTGACACCGACTCAAGGCAAACTCAACCTCATTCCTTAATTCACTATTATCTTTTTTTATGCACAACTCACACACATGTGCACGCACATGCACAAGCACACGTGTTGTGTTTCCATAACTTCAGGGGACATTACATTGACTTACATTCATTTCCTGGAGACATACACCAACCGTAATCAAAACTTGCCTAACCCTAGCCCTCACCCTGAACTTATCCTTACTCGAACCTTAAACTAAGCAATCATTCTAAACTATAATGATTTATGTTTTGGGGACTTGTTTTTTTGTCCCCATAAGGATATCTCATTACATTGACTTACATTCATTTCCTGGAGACATACACCAACCGTAATCAAAACTTGCCTAACCCTAGCCCTCACCCTGAACTTATCCTTACTCGAACCTTAAACTAAGCAATCATTCTAAACTGTAATGATTTATGTTTTGGGGACTTGTTTTTTTGTCCCCATAAGGATATCTAGTCCCCACAGTGTGACTATGTAAACAGATATACAAAAAAAAAAAAACAGCATGAGTAACTTAGTTGCTGTTGTGATTTTTAAAATACAACTTTCAAAATGTCTAGAACAATATGATTTCAAATTGCACAAGCTGAAAAATGTTTACAAGATGAGGAGATGAATTGGTATCAAGAGAGAATAAGTGAATTGGTACATCTTTAGCTAGAGATGCAGTTCTATTTGGTTGTATGAATGAATTTTATCTTTCATTTCAGGGAGTGTTTAGGGATGTTTTCCCATATGGTTTAGGCATACTGTACGTGTTATTCAGCATTAAATGTCCCGCTCAGCTGCAATAAACCATATCGTCATGATCATACTTCTGATACCACATATGGTTCTTTATTTCAAAAAGAGAACATGCATTTATGCAAGATTCTCCCCTTGATCATTTGAAAAAATGGTTTCACTGAAACAGTCCAGCAAGATCCACTCCTGCAGTACTGTTAGTTGCTCATTTCTCTCATCCAATTTGAAGTAGTCACTGGCACAGTGTTCAGTGTGGCTGCAAGCACTACTACAGTAAAAACAAGCTGTCAAAGTTTTCTCTTGCCTCCTACGAATGTGTCATAAAAGATGACAATCCTTGCTTCCCTCCCACTTGCCTTCTTTGAATAAAGAATGCAAAAATGCCATGATCACATTGCATGCATATCTAAATGCAGAGCACATTTCATACTAGGTAGTTTAAATCACAATGTAACTGCCACCTTTGAAAACATACACATAAGTAATAAAAGACATTTTTACTAGCAGCAAGGAACAAATGTAACATTACATCTTTAAAAAAATCCTAATAAGTAACACATTGATTAGAAAGCTAAACATCTCCCAAACACAAGCATTTCAATTGCTAATTGCCTGGTACTAGCTCAACTCTACTCAGTCCTACTCGCTATTGGCACCAGGTGCATTGTTTTCCACTGCAGATAGGTCCCTTGCGGTGTAGCTGGTTGGCACAGCGATGCCGTATGAAACTGCCATGAAGTCTCTGGCCCATGGTGGTAGCAGGGCAGGCTCACAGCTGTATACTTTTCATCCTAGGACTATTATTTATGCCATTTATGTCGTTTTGATAGCTTCCAGGTGGGAAAATAACAATCTAGTTTTCAAATTGTGATCAATCTAACCAAGTAATGCCACTTACAAATTTTCTCCAATGTTTTCAGTGTTGCCAACTTGGCGACTTTCCAAATCCTCTTGGTGACTTTTTTTTGTCAAAAGCGACTAGTGAGAAATCTAGCGACTTTTTCTGGTGTTACTGGAGACTTTCTCTGGTGTTACTGGAGACTGACGTGAAAGCACGTATCATTCTGCTGCCGGTCCCCAACAAACAGGGGGTCCTGCCGTGAGCCCCTCCCCCGTCCCAAAACTCTCACAGTAGCTTCGCGCAGCAGTTCCAGCTGCAGTCAGAGCAGAGAGGAGACCCACACCGCCCTGCGTCCAGACTGCTAATGAATCGCGCATGCGCAAAGCCGCCGCTGAGCCCGGATGAAAGAGGGTGAATTGATTAAATTTGATATTCGAACATTTAACAATACAGGACAAATTTGATTTATGTAATGTTGATCTAGACAAAGCAGTAAAGTCATTAAGTTATTTTGAGAAGTGATGGCCTATTTCAGTGGCAAAATATAAAACAAGCAAACCAAGAATCAACTGAAGAAAGTTCATTTGTAGTACTAAACATATTTAGGGTGTTTTCACTCACTTTTTGTCTCTCCCATGACGTTATTCCTCTCTCCTACAGCGTCCTTTACAATTACAAGCAAATGGAATGTTATGCAAATTGGGTGATGATTTAGTGACTTTTAGGACAGCCAATAGCTACTTTCCTTACTGAGGAGTTGGCAACACTGAATGTTTTGTGTTGACCCGCTAATGTGCCAGGTAGCTAGCTCTACTTAGCAGGCATAGCTCTAGCCATGGTGCTTGTATTATCACATTCAGTAACCTATGAACCACGTGATAAGATGTACAATGTTGTGGTTCACATAATATATAATAATATATAGTTATATTATATAGTATTACCCTCTATAACACTTATGAAAGAGAAGTGGCAGCTACTGTTATGAATGAATGAAGAACAAGTGACTGGTGTCATCACATGTAAACATCTAGATTCTTTGGTGGCCACATAGTAATGATGACTTTCTCTGGCCTATCAGTAGTCCGCCGTGTTTATATGTCACCGTTTGGCATTGCTGCAGAGCGCTTAGGAGCTCAACGGAAATCCTACCAAAAATAGTACCAGGTACCAGGTACTATCCTCAACATTTGACTGATGGAAAAACAAATCAGGTGGGTAGAGTTGAGTTGAGCTGAGCCAGTACCAGGCTGTGGAAAAGGGGCTATAGATTATCAGGAACCAATACATATATCTTAACCAGTCTGAATCTGTGGGAATGCAGTGTAACAAGAACCTGACATTATGTCTCAATATCTGTTATGTCAGGCAAGACTTGATAGTTTAGGACCAAAACGGGCAACATTTCTGAATTGGTCACAGGTTTAGTTGATGCCAAACTCAAAATTGCAGCAGGAAATAACATTTTAACCAGTAGGCCTTAGAAGGCTTTGGGTTCACAGAAGGTTGTCATACCTGAGTCCTGTCTTCATACAGAAATTATCTGGATTTTGGTGAGGCTGGGCTCTGATTGTCATGGCTGAGCATGCAGTCCTTGACTTTTTAACTCAAAGAGAGTAGTAGCAGGTTTTTTGAAAGTCTTGACTTGAAGCCAGTTTGGGCAGGAGTGTAAAGGTTCATATTACCCCTGGAGTGCATGTGCACAGCATTTGCAAGCACTGTGAGGCTACAGTTAAAAGTGTAAAAAACATCTCTCACATGGCACAAGGGTACTGTAAATGTTGAACCCTGTTATTAATCCATTTATCAGCTAGAGTGCAGGTGTGAGTTTGAATGTGCTTGCATGCTGGTTTGTGTAATGATTGTGTGGTTATGTATGGGTGCATGTTTGCATCACTGCTACATGTACAAGTGTGTTACCTTGCTGTCCACGATGAGGTTGCGGATGCAGCCGGTGAAGTGTTTGTGCTGAAGCTGAGGGTAGATGTAGGGTATGTCCTCGTTCACACCACCGAGCTGGAGAACCTGGCTCATGTTCAGGTGTCTAAAACACAGAGACATACTCACATACTGTATACTATACAAACAGGCACTACTGAGCATCGGGGCCCATGTTACACATAATGCATGCAGTGCCACATCCCTGCCATTTGGATACAGTTGTAAGAATGACTTGCAAATCCAAAGCAACACCACAGAAGTGTTGACACACTGAAACAAAATAAGATTACACCACCTGACATGTTTGCAGCCCCTGATTTTTAACCACCTTAATCTAATCAGCATTTTAACATTCAAAACAGGAAATCAAACATGCCGACCACAAAACAATGTGCTAAAAGATGCGAAGACACTCTGTAGAGCTGAGGGGAATTGCAGGGTGGTAATAATTCTGGCAGTTTGTATGAGCAACTCCTTACATATTACACTTGGTCATTTGATCTTTTGTTGATATAAAATATTGATGAGCACAGCTTTAAGATGAAGACCACAATACCATCAAAGATAAAAAGAACTCATATTCCACTTATCATCAATTTTCATCAAGCCTCAGAGAAGGACATCTGACAAATAAGAAGGGTGTACAGTGTGTATGAGCCCACGCCCAAACAGTGTGGTACAACAGTAAAATTCTATACTTTCTATGAGCAAAACGAATTTTCTTACTTTATAAGTATAAGGCATCTATATCTGTCCACAGGATCTTCAAGATTATCACCTTAGTGCATGATTTAGCTAGTGCAGTGTAGGTCTGTCCACATTTTGTGACTGAGTACTGTAGGAATGGTTAAAGTTCTCCAGAAATGTTTATATATTTTAGAATGTATTAAATAAATTCAAAAGGCAGTTGGGCATACATTTAATCTATGCACTTCTATTTTATTTGTGCACATTACCACTCCAATTAAAGAATGAAATCTATCATCTGTCTGTATGTAAAAATGTGGCCCCAGTTGAAAGCACACTGTATAATGCTAGCACACCTTCTCCTGCATATCCCCACACATAAATCTACACCTCTTTTCAAAAGTGCAACTATGTGCTCAGATGTTTTTGTGTACCTGTCAGTGTTAGGTGTAAGGCCTGTCACTTCACAGGAAGAGTGGTCCTCTGTGGTCAACCAGCTGCCCAGACCCTCCATTTCCATCACTGCTGCCCCAGAACAGCGATCCAGGGTGAAACGTACTTCCTGCAAAGAGAACACAAACAAGATACGCTACATAGAACTAATGTAATCAGAGGAAGCAAATGCATTAATAAGACCCCTATTTCTCCCAATTTTAATGGCAGCACCTCCTGTTGCTGTCAAGTGCTCTCTCTCCATTATAGTGGGAGCTGCCGCTCTGTTCCCATTGCTTTCATTAGTCCCTAATATTGTTGCCTGCTATGCCTCCTGTTAACCCACAAACAAAAAAACAAGACTTCACATCTGAAACCTACAAGTGGTGTATGTACAAGTAAAACAGAAGATGGTGAAGAGTACATTAAAGGTGCAGTGAGTGATTCTAAAACACTTTTTTGCCAACTTCAGCAAATATCTCCTGATGGCCTGCTAGCTGTCTGTTCTGTGTGTGAACTGAAAAAAAAATTCTCTGCTATTCTGTGATTTTTATTTGGGAATAATTTATCCTTTGAGTAACATTAGCCACATATATATACTGTATAAGGAGTAACCAGAGCGTTCTGCTGGATTATCAAATTTACTGTTCAGTCAACTAATGCTAACTTTGTACTGGATGCTGCATTTTATACAGTTTGTAGGCATCCATGTTTTACATTGGACATGATAGGATGTACAGAGGGCAGTTATTAACGACTAAGGGCTATTCATACCATCATGTGTCCCCTGTGGTGTAATGATGTAATTTTTGTTATCTTCCTAGATCCGTGATGACTGTCTACTCAACAAAAAGCCCCAACAGCATATGTACCACAGTGCTTGGAAAACTTCAACATAGCTAAAAGAAGGCAGACCCCGTGTGGACGTCTCCGTGCAGGCCAGAAATATATGTCCGCATGGACTGTCTGGACACCATATGCAAAAAATCAAAGACCTTACTGGATACTTCCTGAAAACTGCCACTCTGGTTTGGATATAACACCCTGTATATGTGCCAGTGTTTCAGTATACAGTTCTAGCCATTAGTCCTGCATTGAAACACATAACCTCTGAATTGACTTTTTATGCATATGTAATAACAGATCTTTCATATGTTGTCATTATACAGCCTAGGAAAAATTGCTTCTACAGTATGTCCAAAGAGTAGAATTTTTGTTTCCAATATTACACTTAGATGTTTAAAGTGAAAAATTAGCATAGGACACTGACTTAAAACCTATACAGAATTTGGAGCACTAAACATGGTCTTTATACTTTGAATAATTTAGTTAGACATGCTTAATAAATATACTGAAGCATATTCTAAATCTCTTACTTTTAGATGGGAAGTAGTCAAGAGAACATGACAGTAAAGGATGATGAAAAGAGAGAATATTGTAGAGTACACAATATTGGTGCTGTCAGGTACAACTGACTCTGAAACAGCTGTCAAACAACTACTACTCTATAATTTGCCTTGCCATTAAAAAATGGATGGCTGTGCTGTTTGTAGGTCTAATATTGCACTCTATAAATATATATATATGAAAACATCAGTTCATTTTTACAACTTTGCAAGTTTTCATTCGACAGTTTCAGAAGGCTTTAGTTCTATCCATGGCAATACTTCTTAAAGACAGTGATCCAGTATTTGTGTTGATCCGTTACAGATTGTTGTCTGTTTTTCATGTAGGCTACCATACAGTTACAGTTTCAGTACTTTGGTTAGGTAATATGATTAATAGCTAAGCTTTGTTGTATAATGTTACTAAAACACAGTTTGTGGTTACAATCTTGGCTGCTGAATGGTACAGTACTAATCTCCGGACAGCAGCTCTGTCCTGGCTGCTTTTGATCTCATGTCATCATACAACCAGATTGAATAAGCTGCTGCTGACTGATTAAAAAAACAGATTCACATGTGAATTAGAACAATACCACTGCTGTAATAGCAAAAGTCGATGCATTCTTGTTGTATACAGTGGTGTGAAAAAGTGTTTGCCCCCTTACTGATTTCTTATCTTTTTGCATGTTTGTCACACTGTAATGTTTCAGATCGTCAAACAAATTTATATATTAGTCAAAGATAACACAAGTAAACACATCATGCAGTTTTTAAATGAAGGTTTTTATTATTAAGGGAAAACAAAATCCAAAACTACAAAGCCCTGTGTGAATAAGTGTTTGCCCCCTAAACCTAATAACTGGTTGGGCCACCCTTAGCAGCAACAACTGCAATCAAGCGTTTTCGATAACTTGCCATGAGTCTTTTACAGCGCTGTGGAGGAATTTTGGCCCACTCATCTTTGCAGAATTGTTGTAAGTCAGCCACATTGGAGGGTTTTCGGGCATGAACTGCCTTTTTAAGGTCATGCCACAGCATCTCAATTGGATTCAGGTCAGGACTTTGACTAGGCCACTCCAAAGTCTTCATTTTGTTTTTCTTCAGCCATTCAGAAGTGGACTTGCTGGTGTGCTTTGGATCATTGTCCTGCTGCAGAACCCAAGTTCGCTTCAGCTTGAGGTCACAAACGGATGGCCGGACATTCTCCTTCAGGATATTTTGGTACACAGCAGAATTCATGGTTCCACTTATCACAGCATGTCTTCCAGGGCCTGAAGCAGCAAAACAGCCCCAGACCATCCCATTACCACCACCATATTTTACTGTTGGTATGATGTTCTTTTTCTGAAATGCGGTGTTACTTTTACGCCACACATAATGGGACACACACCTTCCAAAAAGTTCAACTTTTGTCTCGTCTGTCCACAGAGTATTATCCCAAAAGTCTTGGGGATCATCAAGATGTTTTCTGGCAAAACTGAGACGAGCCTTTATGTTCTTTTTGCTCAGCAGTGGTTTTTGTCTTGGAACTCTGCCATGCAAACCATTTTTGCCCAGTCTCTTTCTTATGGTGGAGTCATGAACACTCACCTTAACTGAGGCAAGTGAGGCCTGCAGTTCTTTGGATGTTGTTGTGGGGTCTTTTGTGACCTCTTGGATGAGTTGTCGCTGTGCTCTTGGGGTAATTTTGGTCGGCCGGCCACTCCTGGGAAGGTTCTCCACTGTTCCATGTTTTCGCCATTTGTGGATAATGGCTCTCACTGTGGTTCGCTGCCGTCCCAAAGCTTTAGAAATGGCTTTATAACCTTTTCCGGACTGATAGAGCTCCATTATTCTCTTTCTCATTTGTTTTTGAATTTCTTTGGATCTCGGCATGATGTCTAGCTTTTGAGGATCTTTTGGTCTACTTCACTTTGTCAGGCAGGTCCTATTTAAGTGATTTCTTGATTGCGAACAGGTGTGGCAAGAGAAATTGAACTCAGGTGCGATAAACCAGTGTTTTGACAGGGGGGCAAACACTTGTTCACACAGGGCTCTATAGTTTTGGATTTTGTTTTCCCTTAATAATAAAAACCTTCATTTAAAAACTGCATGATGTGTTTACTTGTGTTATCTTTGACTAATATATAAATTTGTTTGACGATCTGAAACATTACAGTGTGACAAACATGCAAAAAGATAAGAAATCAGTAAGGGGGCAAACACTTTTTCACACCACTGTACATGCATTTCTGAAAAACACTGCTGTATTACCCAGTCTCACTGCATTCATGTCAAGATTCGAAATTTTTATTTGCCATTTATGCATAAACAGACAGTCTAGGCATATAGGAATTCTTGTGCAGGGCTCTCTTGGAGTCAAGTAAAGAGTTAAAAGCCAGAAAGAACACTTAGTCTAAAAATAAAGTTACGTAAGAATAACATAGTATAACAACAAAAATAAGATAGTAGATAAGATGGTGAATTTCAAATATTGCACAAAGTATTTCACATAGTGGAATTGGATATTGTATTTCACTTAGTAAAGCAATGAGGGGTTATTGCACATGTTTTCACTTTTTTGTATTTGCCATCAATCTTACTGCAGTAGGGAAAAAGCATGTACAGTATAATATTCCTTTGGATGCTCATTCTCAAAACTGAAAAATGTACTGTGTTTATGCATGTGACAGTGTGAACCTGACCCTGAAGCTGTTTCTCCTTACGTTTAAAATACATTTAACAAATAAAAACAATGAATAAAACTAGTGAGTTTTATTTTTGTCACAGTGACAGTGCAGTACTGAATTGAATGTTTTGGTAAAGGCCCTAATTTTCACACATACAGTATTTCAGTGTCAGTTTAGTGGCAAGACGAGGGCCCTATTGGCATGACCTTTGTTAAAATAGCTACCCTGCACTTAAGGTAAGCAATATTTTTTAAATGGGTGGTGACATTAGTGATCTTTGTGCACCCAGCTCAGTTAAGCAAATTTAATTGTGACATTTGTGTAATTACTCAGTTTTAAGTTCTAAAAAAGCTTTTGATGGTGCTGAACAGGGCCAGGCTTTTGTTTTGGCGGAGTGCTGATAAAAGTCTGACTCTGACTGCTGTGCTTTTATTGAAGTGGTCCTCATCAATGTTGGCTTGAACCTCCCAAACCAAGAATGAAATGCAGCCAGTTCAGCTGCTTTAAAGTGTCCTAAGCTCAGAGTGAGACCGTAATGCTTAAAGCTTTCAGGCTGGGTTATATCAAAGATACTCTAAAAATAGGATCACTGACTGTCTTCTTGATATTTAAGATGGGCAAGAACTACAAAGCAGTTGTTATGTGTGAGTCCTTGGAGGGGAAGAGCTCCAGGCGGTCCTCAGTCAAATGAAGATTAGCTTAATTCCACTCTAATTTAATTCGATTTAAATGATCCTGGGCAGAGAATGTCAAAGGAGGGCTAAAGCAAGCATTTGTCTCACTTTCATCGCTATTATCTGCCTTTGTACTGTGCTGTGCAGTTCTAAAACACTAAATCACCAACTAACATCTTCCCCATTTGGATCACTGGGAAGTAAATGTATCAAATAGGCTTGCGCAGCACATAATGGGTAAGAAAATAATTTTGGAAACTCACTTGTAAGGCTACAATGGTTAAATGATTGTATTAATTGTTCACAACAATGATACAAATCCCCAATTGACTGCATCAAACAAGAATGTGACACATTAATGTTTGCTACTTTTAAACAACTATTATTGCAATGTTGTTATTCTACATGATGTTACTTTATGTCCTCAAAATCACCAAACCATCCTTTTTGGGACTGGACTGGCTTCCTGGACACTTTCTGACAGGAGTGAATTTTCACTGCACATTATGATGCTGTATCAAAAAGCATTCAAATTTCTCACTGTAATGTAGCTGTCAAATCCAGAACTACTTGCATGCTGCATGAGGTGATGTCAAATGGAGGTCAAAGGTGTGGGTGGACGTTCAGTAAGTGTATAATTGCTGCTCATCAAGCCAACATCACATTCATATAGTGTGAGTGTTTTCCTCATCCACAAACAAGTTCAATACTAGTGTCCTTTACTTTTTGATACTATATTGCTTTGAAAGTGCCTATGTGCAGTCGCAAAGGACATAAATAGGCATTTATGTAACAGCAGCTGAAAAGCACCTGAACACTTCTCAGCCAGAACTCAGATAATCTCTGGCAAAACACAAAACAGCCAAACCCTGTAGTTTCTATTTTGCATTAATACATGGCATATCTTAGCTAATACCCATGCAAAAATGCTAAATTAATTTGTTCATATGAATGACACTAAATTGCTAGCCAAAAGTAAAAAAAGAAGATTCAAATACAGGAAGAGATAAAGCTGTAAAACTCAAAGGACAAATAAACATGTTTTTCTCACTTGAGTATAGCTCAGTGTGAATATACTTGAAGCTTATTTGTTAAATATATGGCAGTTAATGTTAAGTGGGTGAAGCGTCCTACCTTGCTGTTGCTGCGGACATCCAGCCGATGCCACCGTCTGTCGGCCACATTCACGTTGCCTGGCAACTGTAGCACCACTGTGCCAGAGCCATGGTTGATTTTCAAGGTGGGGGTCCCATCTATTAGCTCTAGATGCAGAGAGAGAAAGAGACACAGGGAGGATTGGCAAGGGGTGAGGGCTCTTTTTTAATCATTAGACTTTAAGAAATAATGATTTTTGAGAGCTGTTATCAGTAGTTCGGTTGCAACACGTTGTTGACGATCTGGCATTGAAGTCTCTATCACAGCATTAAAACCATTGTAACGGACTGATGTGTGTTAGTGGATAAGCTGTCATACATGATAGAGTGCTCACTGACAGTGTGGAATATAATTGCCATATTGCAAATATTGTCTGTATATTAACATTAATGAGGACTGTCATGAGGAATGTCGTGAAGTTACTTGTTCAAATCTTATGGCAGTCAACAAACATTGCAAAATTTTATTATGTTCTATTTTCTGACTTAGTCAAATGGGAAATTAAAAGTTAATGAAGTGGCTAAGACTGCTTGTGCACTCAGCACCATACGTAACAAATTATGGGAACCCATGTCTACCAACCAGCATCGACAATCCGTCTTCATACTGAACTGCAAATATTCATTTGGCACTTTCAAAAGACACATAACACAGAACACTAGGCATCTAAGCAATGTATATTTAGTTCAAGAAATGAAAAAAAGCAGTAATGGCAATTGTAGTGACTTCACAACAAGTGTATGTACAATTATGTTGTTTTGAAATGATGGGTAATGTCAGTATTTCTCTGTTGACTGTATTCAATTAAAACTAATACTAGGCTGTCACAGTTCACATCCAATAGTTCATTGTTCCCAACCTTACCCATTGCCATCCTAAAGTTTCCTCCTACACCCTCACTGCCAGAATTAGGGATTCACTTCCCACTAAAGCATTTGTTCTCATGTTTCATTTTGATGACTCCCATTTGGCACTTTCCTGGTTTACTCCTAGTTAAGAGTGAAAAACTGGAGACAAGACTACAGTAGGAATTTTGCTAACTTCTGCACTATGACATTTGTCTTTGTGCACAAGTCAGTAGAACTCTGAAGTCAAAAGAAACATCAAATTTCCCTTTTATTGCCCTTCAATCAGCTGAGTCTGACATCACTGGAGCTTTAGTCACCCTTCTTGCTGCACCTCTTGCAATGTCAGTCAGTCTTTAAGCACTCTTTCATCTCCTGTCTCTCTTTTACCTTTTGCCTTGCTTCACTCACTCATTACATTTTTCAGTGTAACTGGCATTTTTACATTCTGCTTTTTTCAAGTAATTCACAAATGCTTCCTGACATTTTTCTTTTTAACGGTGTTTTTGTGAGACCATTGCTTTCTATCAAGCTTGCTAATGACATGTGGTGACATGTGTTGTTCCTTATTGTTTGTGTGTAATAACATTATTGCACCAAATCAAGTGATTTTGTGTCATGAATTTTCTTGCATCTTCATCTTGAGCTAGATGAAATTAGGTGTTGTTGAGCACATAATGCTGCTTTTCTTTAATCGCATCGTCAATACTGAAATGTCCCTTTGTGATGAGTGCCCTATATTACACTTGGCTCCCCCTCATAAAAGCAAAAAACAAAACAAAACAAAAAAAATCTACTAACCCTCCAACCTATACGACTCATTTGCCCCATCCCTCTCATGTGACCCATAGCAGCAATGCCTGAAATAACACCACTATGGTGGCAGGCAGAATTGTAAGAATTCCACCAACCTTAACAAAAACATACATTGCACCAGAAAGCTTTATGGACTTTAATCATCATGGGAACAGCCATAAACTTGACAGCAAATGTAGCAGAGCTCCATCATCATGGAAACTGTTATAAACATGCTGCTTATATGATGATTATGAAACCAACATGGTTTCATTATGCTTTGTCACAAAAAACACCTGGTTCGGTTTTGGAACAAAAACAACTTGAAAAACACACACCACACTCTAAAACTGAACCCCACTCACCTGGAGTAAAATCCTGTGGTTTGAGTACCTGCCATCCACCCCAGCCTCTGCTTAATGCGAATTTTCTGGCTCTACATCACCTAACTTACTCTTTTGCTTGTATTACAATTACTATGGTAGCAAGAGGTCGCAAAACAATAACATACAGCTGCTGGCACAAATGACATACAGAGTTGTTTTTACAGGAGGACTGTGTCAAAAATCTCATAGCACTGGCAATGTAATCTTTTAAGCCACAGTGAGTGTTGTTTGTTGTTAGCCTCTTTTTTCCTCTCAGCTTTCCTTCAATTACCTGCAAGTTGATTTAGCTCACTTCAGCTGCAAGATGAATGGCTTCTGCAATCCAGGAGTGACTCAATTAATTAGAATATATTGGCCAGTAAATTTCAGTGTATTAGTTCAGTCCAGGCCCTCCCTCCTTGATATTACTGTAGAGTATTTATGTATCTGATCTATAGGCTGTACCTCACTGCCCCCACCCACCTCCTTCACCTTGATTCTTTTGATCACATTCATATCAGTTGTTCCATTTTTCAGGCTGCACCCTCAGTGGAATTTCTTTCATTCCTGAATCTCGACATATGTTAACGCTGTCACCACCAGCCCTTCTTTTACCCATGACCTAAGGCAGCCACATGTGCCAGAGATGACACTACACCCAAAGTAACAAAGGACACCTGCATAAACCTGACCAAAAAGACAAGCTCACCGATGTGGATACTTGTAAACATGAATCTGTCTAAATGCATACATACACATGTATGCAAGATGTTAAAAATGGCACGCACACACTCAGACAGACAAACACCCAAAATCAGTTCCATGGTGGACTGACCAAATGATTTTCTGGCATAGCTAAAGAGCCTTCTTATCAAGACTGATGTGACATTTACCCAGGAGATGAAGACAGACTTCAGAGGTCTCAAAAGAAAACAGGGGACAAGTGAAGCAGCAAGAAGAGAGAGAATAAGTGTGGGAGGGTTTGCGCGGTGTGTGGACGAGAGAAGGACATAAAAAATAAGTAAAGGCGGAGAAGCAGAAACAAGAGTGGAGGCTTAAAGAGGAAAGATTAGGCACAAGTGTAATTTTGAACAAATCTGGGAAGAAAGCCAAGTTGCCAGATGACAGGTGGGATGATGGACAGTGAGGAAACAAAACAAAAAGGGAGAAACAGAAGGTGATGTGTAGAGAAGAACATGAGGACGAATCAAAGATATGACAAATAGAAAGCAGATGGAGGAAGCAAAGAAAGAATCTCAATTGAGGACATATTCTCCACTAACTTGATCAAAAGAGTATGAATTAAGTTCTTTGTTGATTTATTCATTTTAATATGATTGAAATCGGCAATGAGACACAGGCACATATTCATACAAGTAGCCAATGCTTAACTTGCTGTAGCCCCGAAGCTCCTGAGCCACACAACACTTTCTAATGTGTTGGACTGGAGTCGGTCATGATATCGTGCAGCCAATCAACATGAAGTATTTTAGTATTCTCTGTTTTCTTCCACTCAATTGCAGCTATGAGATCTTTTCAATGTTATTGTATCACAGCTGAAACTCACAACATCCTGCACGTTCCTCACAATAAATGATTTTTAATGTAAAAGGAAGTGTTGAAATCCACAGTGTTGACAATGCAGTTAGCTAACATTAGCACAGCTTGACTTTATAAAGTTGAAAAAGTTTCATAGAGAAATTTATGTAAGATGTAACACACAAACTAATATTACAGTACATACAATATAAGAATTTTGTATGAGGAAAGGGAAAATCAGATTGGTGCATGCCTAGTGTTAGAAATTAATAAATCAGTCAGATAATTATTAGACATTAATGTCTTAGACTTTAATGTATTAGTAATGTAATTTAGTAAGATTCAAAGTCTACTCTAGTCTGCTCTGTTTCAAGGTTAGCAGTAAGCCATGACACCATTTGTTTTCTTGTATTAATCTTGTGTTAGATTTGTGTTTGAATGATTGTTTTAGTTACGCACCACGTAACAACATCTACACACATCGAGCTACCTCATTTTGTTATGACTAGGTAATATGCAGCTGCTCCAAGCCTGTGGAGCTCTAGATAAGAGATGGGGTCTGCTGGACGGACTTCATCTGTGTAAGGGGTTAGCCCAAAACTGATAAATGTATTAGGCTCTGTGTTTCCGGGATCTTCTTCTCTCTTCTCCAGCAGCTTGTCTGAAGGAGGAACAACCCGGATTGTGTTCTGTAATCTTTATTCATATATTTTTTTTAAATAAACCAGCACTAAAATCAAGAAAGACGGACTGATTCCTTACTCAGATCTGTCCAATAAAAGAACTGGGGTATAACACTAGTCAACACTTTTCCCATTTCATTTGTGCCATTCTTATATAAGAATACATATGTGATTAACAGGAAGTGCCTGCTTGTAGATTGTAATTAGAAATAAAATACATCCCTTGCATTATTCAGCATAATATTAATTGTAAAGTAAGTACATAGATCTTTTTTTAAATGTATTTTTTAGTGTACACTCAGGTAAAGTGAGCACCAAGAAACAATTATCAACAATATAATCCTGAGAAATGACTGATCACAACAAATGAACAAATACTGTAAACTCAAATAATAGCACAAGCTCAAATGGCAACCAAGGGATATCCAAATAAATGCCAATGTTTTCACTGTAACAGAACAGCTCTCATGGATTTGTCCCTCAGAGTTTGTCCCTCAAACCCAATGCATATGTAAAGTCTGCAGAACATAAGCAAATAAGAGAAAGGACAAATATACTGTATGTCTTGATTACTTTTCATTAAATTGTAAATACAAACAATGAATACTCTCATAGCTGAAATCCTGCAGCCTTATAGCCACATAAAAACTTGAAGTTTTTTGTTGTTATGGCTGTACTCTTTTTAAAGCTGCATTAACTAAGATTTAGCACATATTTAGATAAGTCTAAAACAACAATAAAATGGCGCCAACAGCGATGGCAGCCTTGGTTACTCGTGCCCTCTTGTGTTTCTTGTTTTTCTTTGTTTTCTTGGTCTTTTGTAACTCATACCAGATTACTTTTACCAGAGAAGAACTGTTAAATATTGGACAACTCACAC